GGGCGCAAATCGCCCTCCACAGGTGGGGCGGAAGCCTGATACTCCGTCACATCCCCGCCCACGTGCACCGGCCAGTTCTCCGCGTCGAACAGCGAGACTGAGTTGACCATGGTCGCCTTCATATCGGCGCGCCGCACCCTCGAGGTCGTCCTGCCGCCCAAGGCCCTTGACGCCAGCGTGGTCTCGCACCCCGCCCACAGCGCGAGCTCGGACTTCATGGTCCTGGCATCAATGCGACTCACCTGGCGGAAATTAGCGTTGATGCACGAGTGTATCTGCTCGTTGCGAGTCGTTCCAACGCCGAGAGAGCTGTTCTCCTCCGGCGTGAGCCGCGCCCTGTAGCGGATGTTGTTCATGTAAAATTCCGCTCGATCGGGGGCACACGCCGCAATGAACTGCGCCCGGAGCGTGTCCTTGTCGTACTGCACGTCCATCCGCTCCGGGTAAACGCGCGCGATGGCGGCCATCAACATGGCAAACTGCTCCCTGGACTGCGTCGGCGCGTTAGGGTCCATGTCGCTGAGGATGGTCTTCGCTCGGCGGTGCCCCATGTCGCCCCCTCGTATGCGCCTGATAAAATATTGCTCCTGAGCGGACGCCCTGGCCGCGCCAGTGCCCCAGTGGAACGGCTCGCGCCTCCGCGCGTAGTCGGCCACGGAGAACTTCCCCAATGCAGCCCGCGTGACGAGGCCGACCGCGGTCGGCCGCATGCGGCGCTTAGAGGTGTGGGTGTCCACGGAGAACGCCAGGTGTAACGGGTCAAGGGATACGCACTGCAAATTCGGGAGAATCTTCTGCATCTCCTCGCACAGCTTGCGCCCGACGACATCGCTCGCCACGTGCTCGACGCGCGAGCGGAGCTCGGGGGGCACCGAGCGCCCCACTGCGCCGGCGAATGCCTCTGGGCGCTCTGCGTACGAGGGAGCGAGCCCCAACACTTCGCCATGGAATCCGATCACGCTGAACACGTTGTGTTTCTGCATACGGGTCTGTCCGGACACCTTGAGTGCGACCATGTACGTCGCGTCGATAGAGATGGACCGGAGGCCGCCGATGTCAGCGCATTTCAGAAGCTGTGCACCCACGAAATCCCCGAAGGCTTTCGACTCGGCAATGTCCAACATCAGTGCTATCATGGTGCCGGTGTGCCGGTTGGCGAGCGATCCCACCTCGCAGCCACCGCGGGCCCATGCCGCTTTGAGGGAGCGGAAAGCGCGGCCGTGCACGCCTCCTGCGTCAAGCAAGAACCGCGCGTACATGTTGCCGAACGCCATCGTGTAGTAGTGGCCGCCGAACTTGCGAGCGCAGCGGAGCTTCTCGTCGGAATGTAGCCAATATTGCGGACCGGTGTCGGTCAGGACCAGTCTCAGGTCGCAGTCGCGTTTGTGGCCCGTCGCGGTGTAGAGAGAATCTCTCCCACCGGGTGTCGCGGTGACGCCGATCCACTCCTGGATGAGCGACCTCGCGCGGGACGCGTAGCCGCCGCGCGGGCAACCCGCGAGGATGTCGTGGTCGTACAGGGAGCGCTGCACCGCCGCGATTACTGGGTGCGAGATCTGCACATCGGTCAGGAGCGTCTTGTGGATGCACGCGAACTTGCCCTCCAGGTGGCTCTTCGCGCGCTCGCGTGCCCTCTGCGGCCTCGAAAGAATTCTCCCGCAGACAGAGCACTCGAGCACGGCGCTGGCGTTCTCGGCGTCGCCCTCCTTGGTCTGGTCGACATAGTCACGAATCTCCTCCACGATATACTTCGCCAACTCCTGGGCTGTAAGGAAACGAACTCCCGATCCTAAAATCACAAACTGATAGAGGCCTCAGAAATCGGCAGAATATTTCGGAACATGGCGCGCGTTCGTCCTTGACCCCCAAGTCAAGCCCGATTCCTAAATCCCCCGCCTAGAAATCTACCCAGGCCTGCTCTGGGCGTTGGTGCCAACGTTTTTTATTTATCATGAGGTGTGTTCAAAAATAGCGAGTCCTGGCGTCGGGCCTGGCATTGGCGGCCCCTCGCCGCGGCCGGTCGCTTCGCGGCCGTCCGCGCCACGGCGGGCCCTCTGGCGACCGCCGCCCTGGCGGCCGGCTGCTTGCCGATGGTCGGCAGGACAGGGCGGGCCGCGGGCCGCCTCGCCACTGGCCGCGCCCCCATGGCAGTGGGTCAGCGGTGCCGCGGGCCGCGCTAGTGCAAGGCAAGGCGCCCCCTGAACTGGAGCCCACGCGGCGATGACGCAGCGCCCCGTCGACTCGACGAGCGAAGAGAAGCTGATATCACTGCTTCCCAGATCACACCTGGCGCGCGTTCCGACGAGGATTGCGATATGAATCCCCGCTGATCGACTCTCGCACCTCGCCCAGAGTACGCGCGCCAACGACCAGCCAACCACCGGCTCCTGGATTCCCAGATCGCCAGGATTCCTGACTCCCCCCACTTGAGCTCGGGCAATCTGCGGGGAGGGGGCGGGGGCGGCGGGCGCGGCAGATCGTGCTAATGGGCTTCACTTACATGTATTAATGTACGCACCGACTGCGGCCCCTCCGAGTCGGCCCAAGGCCGTGGCCTCCGCCCTCTGCCGCCGCCGACCTCACTCCAGAGCGAGCGCGGCCACCCTCTCGACCTGGTCCTCCATGTCGTCGACCTGGCCCGCCACCTCGTGCTCCATCCCGTCATCGCCCAGATCCCTGAACTGACGGATCGACGCCCACGCCGAGGCGTGCTTCATCCTGGCCTCCGTCAGCATCACGCGGAGGTGCCACGAGTCCTCCGCGACGCGCGACATGGCCGCGCGCAGCGCCAGGACCTTGAACTGCGCGCGGGCGACGTCGTGCCTGACGGGCGGGAAGGGGTTGAAGCCGTAACTCCCGACCATGTGGTCACGCAGCCAGTGTCCAACGTGATGAGGCAGCACCTGGGGGGATCGCGCCATCGGCCACATCCGATTTGCCCCTCCCCCCTCACCACCACCACGCACCGCCGCCACCACGACCGCCATCACCACCACACACACACGCACACACACACACACACGCGAATCGTCGCGAGTCGAGATAAAGATCGAAAGACGCCAAGAAAAAGTTCACAGTGGTCAGTGAGCGCATGATTACCCCTCGGCGCCGGGTCGTTGTCGGCGCCTGCGAGCACGGGGTAAGGGACGAAGTCAAGACTGGGCTGAGTGGCAGGGTTGCTCGGCTGGAAGAACGCAGCGATCGTGCGCAGGATGTCCGCGGGGACCTTGACATATTCCACTGGGGTGCGCCGCGTGGCGAGCGGGGCCAGATCTACCCGACAGCATGCCCGTTGGTCGATCGCGCGGGCCTCGCCGCCCGACCGGGCTTCAAGAAACCTCCGAGAGGACCTCAGGGAAGCTCCCAGAACACCCGCGACAAATTTAATTGTGTTGCGGGTGCTCTGCGGGGGCTCCTGGGGCATCCTGGCCTCATGTGGGTTCGTGGCGTCTCCTGGTGTCTCCTAGTGCTTCCTCAGACTTTGGGGGCTTTCTGTGGCCTCCTTGAACCTCCTAGGACCTCGTGATATACCCTGCAGCTCCGTGGCTGGGGTGTGCCGCGTGGCGAGCGGAGCCAGATCTACCCGACAGCATGCCCGTTGGTCGATCGCGCGGGCCTCGCCGCCCGACCGAGCTTCAAGAAGCCTCCTAGAGGACCTCAGGGAGGCCCCCAGAACATCCGCAACACATTTAATGTTGTTGCGGGTGCACTGCGGGGGCTCCTGGGGCACCCTGGCCTCATGTGGTCTCGTGGCGTCTCCTGGTGTCTCCTAGTGCTGCCTGAGACTTCGACTTCTGGGGCTTTCTGTGGCTTCTGTGATATATCCAGGAGCTTAGTCGCGTTGATCCAGTGTTATGCACTTACAATGTATACATATGTATAGTTACGAACATTTGTATATACATATGTATAATGTATAAGTATGTATAGGTATATGTATATGTATATATATATATATGCATATATATATGTATATATATATATATATATATATATTACATACTCACACGAGTATATTACTTCCACGTGGATTTATGTAGTGCCCCTGGAAAACCCTGGCAGGTGTGTCAGGCCCGTCGTCGTCGTCGTTGTCGTCGCCGACTGGCCCTCCTCTCGACGAGGCTCAAGACACTTTTTTGAAGCTGATCTTCGTGTCTGTCGATCGGGCGCGCAGATCGCACAGGGGGCTGCTGATCGCCGCGACTGCAGAGGAATGTCCGCTCGCGAGCGCCACGAGCGCCTGGTTCCTCTTGAAAAGCTCTTCTCCTGCGGCGCTGGGGGGCTGGTATCCTAATCGATTCTCCCTGGGGCACTCGCTGAGTCTCTAGACAGCTCCATGAGGTGCTCTAGGAGCCTCCATGGGATCCTCTGGGGAGCTTATTGAAGCGTTCGCGGAGCCCCCCCCATACGACCCACACAGCTCTCTGCATGAACTCTCACCCTCTCTGGGAAACGGGGCGAATTCATTGGTGGGTCCTTGAAACTGCAGGTACGCCGCATAGTCGACGCTCTGCTTGATTTGCAACTGGAGCAGCTGGGCCTCCTCGAACGCGCGCGCGGCCATCGAGGAGAACGCGGAGAAAGCTGGCGATGCTGGAAGTAATGGGTCGGGCTCGGAATGCGCGCGCGAATCTTGAGCCGAGACGCCTGCAGCATGCACGCGATTCTAAATTTTCGGGCCGGAGAGGGAGGGGGGCAATTATCCGATATGCAACCCGTGAGCGCCCAGGAGACACCTGCGACGAGGCGGGGGCGGAGGTGGCGAGGGCGAGCGGGGGCGAAGTCTTAATTGCTGAGAATCTGACCCCGACTGGGCACTCGCAGGCAGGCGAGCACGTCGCTCCTGCAAACGCTCGCAGCTCCTGATATCGATTGCAATAGTCAGCGCGCCGACTTCCCCGCCGACTACAGCGCCCCACTGAGTCGGATCCCCTGCCAGCCGCCGCGCCCGCGGGCGCCCCCGTCCCGACCGGTCACCAGACTCGGGCCGCGCCTCACGCCTGCCGCGGCCGCTTCTTGCCGCACGCGGTTCTCGACCTTGTTCTTGTCGACCGCGGCGCACAATTGCTCCCAGGTAATGTTGGCGTAATTGTTCTGGGCCTCCTTGAACTCCATGCTGGGCTCGCCATCTGGAAGTGCTTCGGGCCCGAGCACCAGGGCGTCGATGTCGGCATCGTAGCGCCCGAGCTTCGGGGGGCACGCATTCGCCACACCACGGAACACGTGCACCGACATCTTCCCGACATCGCGGTCCTTGGCCTCCTTGACCGTCCATAAGCCATGGGCCCTGCTGGCGGGCACCACCAGGGCCTCGCGACTCCCTCCGTCGTCCTCGACGGTGAACGCATATGTCTTACAGAGCATGCGGCGCGCAATTTCCGTGCCTGGCATGTTCTTCACAATCTTCACGTTGTCAAGCTCCTTATCAGCGCGGGTGGCTGTAAGCGCATCTGCAATGTCCCCAACGGCCAGGCGTTCCACAGCAGCGTCGTCACGGAACGCGGTGCGGATGCCGTCGAGGATGCCCGCCAGCTTGAACGCGCGCTCCATGTGGGTGCCCTGGATGACCCACGGCATCCCCTTGTACACGAACTCCACCTGATTCCACATGATGTCGGCGAGAAGAAGGCACGCGGCGATCATGCCGAGCTTCCACGGCCCGATGCCGTTTTTTGCCCCCTTGTCCGGGTCGTTCGCGTCGCGAGCGGTCTTGACCATGATGTTGTAGTAGGTCGAATAGGAGGCGAACTTACCTTTGGCGGCTTCCGAAAGGACGATCTCGTGATGCGGGCCCTGCTGGGCGCAGTGCTCGGTCAGCACGGCCGCCCTCGTGCCCAGGTCGGCCTCGGCTGGGATAGTGATGTCGCGCCGCGGGAGAAGCCACTCGGGCACGTACCGCCCCTCACCCAACCTCATGCGCACGCGCACCTCCACAGAGTCTGGGAAAAAGCAAAAAAAAAAACAAAATAAAAAAAAAAGGAAAGAAAAAAAAAAAAGAAAAAAAAAAAAACCAAAAGAAAAAAGGACGTGTGGATGATCCCCCCATATCGGGCACGAAAAACTAAAAAAAAAAACAAACAAAAAAAAAAAAAAAAAAAAAAAAAAAAAAAAACAAAAAAAAAAAAAAATAGGGCAGGTTCGCGACCGCGGCGTCCTCCTCGCCCGCCCCGACATCTTCCGCCGTCTCCTCATCCTCGCCCCTGACGTGGAAGAAGGCTTTGAAGGAGTTCACGGAGCTGAAAGCATTGTCCGCGCCGAGTGCTGAATGGATGTTGGGAGGGATTTCGACCCAATCCGCGGGGCACTCGTCGCCGTCGAGATCGACGTACATCTCGCGAGGCTGAACCGGCAATCCCGTGCACACGGTGACGCGCGCCTTAGCCTGGCAGCCGTGGTCGCCCCGCTCGCCGCGCAACATCTCGATGCACGGTGTCGGGTGGAAGTTGCCGAGGATGGATGTCGATACCGGGAGAGAGGCAAGGCCCCCGTGCGAGCCGTTCGACTTGGTCTCATGGTCGGACTTTCCGGACTGCACGAGTCGATTCAACCAGCCCGCCAGCGGCGTCTGCCCAGCTCCCGGGCCATCGCCGGACTTCTCCTCGTTCGGCTTGTCCAGGATACTGAGATCTTGCAGGAACTGGTAGATCTCGTCATACACGAGCCCCTGGCCGTACCAGACCCGCCCATGCATGCCGCTCTGCGTCGCCATCGCCTTCCCCGCGATATCGAGGTCACCCAGCCCTGCCCTCTCAAGATATTCGGGCTGTATGGACGGTAGCCTCACCACCGCCTTCGTCTGGTGCGCGACCGAGAAGTCGCCAGCGCACCGCTCGCGCACGCGCTCGATGGTACCGCCGAGGAAGGCGTGAGACCAGACTCCAGGGAATATGCCACCGCTCTTGCCGTCATCCAGCTCGTTCGGGTTCGATTCGCCAGCGGCTCCGAGCGAGCCCTCCGCCTGCGTCTCCACGGCCTGCAAGTCCCTCGTGGTCTTGCGCTTCTTCGCGGCCATGATGTCCTTGAACGCCTTGTCCTTGGCGTCAAACATGTGCTGCAGGCGCTTGGTGACGTACGAGTCCACGTGCGCCATCGCCGACTCCGCCAGGGAGGTGAGGCGGCTCTTGCGGGACTGGCTGTGGTTGACGTTGAGGACGGGGAAGCACACTGGGTCTGGCGTTCCCCATAAGTTCACCCGCGCGCCGTTGGACAGCGCCGGCATCAACCCGATATTGTACATGAATATTGGAAACGGAGGGCGTGCTGCTCGCACGCCTTGGTAGAAAGCTGCCTTGTAGCCGTTCTTCCCGGCGATGTCCTCGCCGTGCTTCTTCCACTCGCGCTCCACGTACTCGCCGACTGCCACCATGACCTTGCAGTGCTCGCTGCTCACGGCCATCGACCCGGCGGGGGCAGCGGGGCGCTGGGCCTTCCTTGGATGTTAGTGCGGCGCGGGTACTTCTGCCTGCAAAAGCTGCGAGGCGGCAGCAGGGCCTGATCCGGCCGTGCGGGGCCAGTCTGGCACAGCACGCCCCTCCACGATCTCCTCCTCTCCGCGGGGGTGGGTGGATGGGGGCGGGGCCCTCTGCTGGCATCTGGTCTTCATCCCCACCTCGGCCCGTCTGGGCATACATAGCCGCCGACTGACGCCAGAATCCTCCTCGCCCCCCCGAGAGACGCTCAGGCGCCTAGGCGGCCTCCACGGAATACTAAGCCAGAGGGACAGAGGGCACCAAGGGGCGTTCAAGACATCACACGCACGTCCCACAAACTTGAGAAACGCATCGGTAAATATTCCTGAAGCACTGCGCGAAGCGATTTCGGCGATCCCCGCTCACCCCCAATAATGCGACGGTCCACAGGGAGCCCGAGAGGCCTGAACGCGGCGCAAAACAGCCGACTGAATAATCGACAACTCGCAAGAGAGGGCCAGTTCCGCAACATCCCCGCGCGAATGGAAGCTAAACACAGAGCAGTTGGACTACTGGTCTCCCCCCACGCTTGAAGGATTAATGCATGCCTTCATGCCGAACCAGGGGCACTGAAGCTTTACCGCGATTTCGGGGCTGAGCGCCTATGCTGACCGGTGAAACTGAAACTGACGGGCCACGCACCGAAACACTTTTTATCAAAAAGTGTGCCCTTGCGAGTTTTAGCAGCCGCAGGGGGGGTGGCATATGGGGCCTCGGGAGTCTCGAGCGCCCTCGAGACCAAGGCCTGCGGCACTTGCCAAGTCCAGGGAGGACCCAGAGAGTGGGGGCGAGGCGGAGGAGCGATGACGAAGAGGATGAGGATGAGGAGAAGGAAGAGTTCAAGCTCCCAAGATGATATCCTCTCCTGAAGTTTTACTCGCGATCTCGGGGCTGGGCGCCTATCGATACGGTCACAGTGAAAACGTAGATGTATGTCTCGCCGCGGGCCCGCCAGCGCGCGCCTACTACCAGCCCCCTGGAGTCCGCCCCCGCGCCCCCATGGCGCTGCCGCCGCTGTGCGCCTCACGCGCCGACCTGCCTCCCCCTCACAGCGCCCCTCGCCGGAAATGCGCCGCCGCTCAATCCAGGTCGAAGGCGCGCCTCGCCGTCGCGCGGCCGTGGACGCGCCGGCCGTTCACCCAGAAGCTTATGGGCATGCGGCGCGCCACCAGGAACGCGCTCCTGAACTGCTCAGTCATCTCGGCGACGGTGGTCGCGTAGGAAACGCGAAATCGGGTGCGGAAGCCTGGCTCGTCAGCACGACAGTCGACCGTGATCTGGCGGCGCCCGCGGTCCGCGCCCGTGGCCCATGCCGCCGCCCTCATCGCCGTCACGGGGCGGGCGAACATATACGGGAGGTGAACGTCATTGGGCACGAAGACCGACGTCGCGCCCTGCGGCAGCGGCACGTTGCGCAGCTTGTTGAACACGTCGTAGCCGCCCATGTCGTCGGAGACAAGGACGCGCCCGCCGCCGGCGCGCAGGACGCGGCACTGGCGGACGCTGAAGAGGCGCCACTGGACGAACTCCAAGCAGACGGGCTCGCCGGGCGCCCAATCACCGGAGGAGAAACTGTACTCAAAAAAAACCATGGCTCTGGCAGGGAAACGTTGAGGAAACGTGGTCGCGAGACGGCGGCGGCGGCGCTCTCGCTGACTTGGCTGAGCCAGATGATGACGCGACTCAAGGGTATAAAACTTCCATATCAATCTCGACCCGTCTGGGCACGCGCGGCTGGCCGGCGCCGAGATCACCCTCGGGCCGCCGGGGGCAGCCTCCGCGGACCCCCAGGGGGGGGGGGCAGGGTGCCCTGAACGGCCCCCAGAAAATAACACGCAAGCTTCCCAGGCCTCCTGAAAACCCGGGTGCTCCAGACACCTTGTGAGAAAGACTTTCGAAGAAATGCGCGCGGCTCTGCGCGAACTGATACGCCATCTGAAATGGCAGTTTACTGCTCCGCAGTGACAGCGATGACTCGTGGGACTCTTCATAACTTATCTGAGCATTGTCCGCATGAATACTACGCGCGGCGGCGGCTGTGGGCGCGCGCGGGCGCCTGCGCCCCCAGGCATCGCCGCCGCCAGTGGGCTGCGCGCCAGCAGCTCCGCCGCCGTTGGTCCTGAACAGAGGGGCGCGGGGAAAAGCGGTGAGGCAGCTGCCAGCGCGATGGCGGTGGCGACGGCGACGGCGACGGCGACGACGAACATGACGACCGCAACCACAAACATATCCGCCCCCCCCCCTTGGGGGCGTCTCGGGGGGCGCCCAGATGGCCCTGGGAGCAGGCCGAATGGCGCTGAGGAGCCTCGAGAGGTCAATGGCGATCTGGATATATCTAGATAACAGCGGATGAGAGAATCCGATAAACTCCTGTGAATGTCCCGGTCCTTTCCGCACAACACATAGTTACTTTCTCGCAATCTGCCGCGAACTTCGATGGCGTCGGGTCTGGGGCAACTGCGACGGCAATGGCGACGACGACGATGACGACGAACGTGGCGACGGCAATGCCCGACATGTCCCGCCCCCCATCGGGGCTCCTCGGACGCGCCCAAATGGCCCAGGGAACCGGTCGAAACAGCTCCGGGAAATCCCGGGAGGTCCAGTGCATCACTAGACAGCTCAGTAAAGCATCACTGATAATTCATCGGGACGCGTCCGCGAAAGTCCGCGACAAGTGCCCGCACCGCCGACTACAGCACCCCCTGAGTCGGCTCCCTGACAACCGTCCCCTCCGCGGATGCCCTAGCCCCGACTGGCTGACACGTCCGGAGAAAAACTATAGAATGCACGCGGGGCGCGAGTACTGGCTCGGCCGGCCGACATCACCTTAGCGCGAACTCCTCCCGACCGGCTGCCGCACTTAGGCGGATCTAGGAAAATATGACAAAGGCGCAAACGCTGATTATCATTATTGCCAAGTCTCCTCTCCAGGGCCACATCCCGCCCTCCCATGCCGCCGATCCCATTTCAGCCACTCCCCCCCCCCCCCCGCCGACTGCCGCCGCCGACCTCACTCTAGCGCGAGCTCCGCCACGCGCTCGGCCAGGTCCTCCAGACTACGATTCGCCGCTATCTCCAAGTCGACTCTCCAGGCCTGCATCCTGCTCTCCCACATCCGCTTGGCCAACCTCCTGTTCCACGGGTCTGGAGTCGCAGGCCGGTTGGCGCCCCAGTGCGCCACTGCCGCGATGTAGTCGTCAGTGCGCTTGACCGCCCGCACGCCCTCGCATCTCTTGCGATGGCGCCTGTCGGCTACACGCAAGAGTGACCGCGGGCAGGAGTGGCCTTCGGTGCGCGGCATCAGCGGGCTTCTTCGCCCTCGTTGATGCTGCACTCATGCTTGGATTGGCCCCCCCCCCGTCCCCCCGAGAGCCGCGCGCCGAAGGCCGCTCTGGAGAAGGGTCACTCTGACGTGAAGTCGAGCCTGGCCCACTCGATCTCCGTATCCGGCGGCGGGCGCGACCTCGCGGGGCGATCCGGCGCGCGCTGAGGATCGTCGCCGCGACCTCCGCAGGCGAGCATCGCCGTGCCAGACTCGCCTGTGGATGCTGGATATGGGCTGGCGAGCATCGTCGTCGCGACTCGGAGGGGCCACCCGCGAGGCCCCGGTGACAGGCTTGGCCACGGGGCGGGAACCTGCCGCGGCACCTCCGCTACGAATGCGCCCAGGTCAGCTTTGAACTGGCGCGCGGCTCTGTCCCAAGCGCGCCTGCCCACTTCTGGCTGCCGCGGGTCTGGTGTAGTGGGTCTGCCTGGGCGCTGTACCGCCGCGATGCAATCATCGCTGCGCCGGATCCACGCAAGGCTACGCTCTCGATGCAGCCTGACGCGCTCCCAGTCCTCGGCACTGATGCCAGGGGCGGGGGTCGCTCCTGGCGGTGGAAGTGCATGGTCGCGACTGCGCTCCGCGGACGCGGGCATCGCGCGCGCCCGCGCCCGCCAGGGCGGGCGTCGCTCGCTAAATTCGAGCCCACGTGGCTGCGGATGAGCAACGACCCGAGGCGCTCAAATAGAATGTAGCTCGTCCGTTGGAAACTATCCAACCACATCACTGCGTCATGGTCGAACAAAACGCTTGAGGATGGCCCATGTGGGCAGGGGTCTCTGGGTGCTACCACATTGACGTTCAATATATGTTCGTATAGATTAATAGCTATATTGGTCTACATGCATATACGAATGTCTATATACGTATGTATACATATATATATATATATATATATATATATGTATATATATATATATGTATGTATGCATATATATATATATTAATACATATATATATATACATGTATGTATAATAATATGATTTATAGATGTGTGTTTATATACATACGGTATATGTATGTATGTATATCAAACAATATCATGTTATAAGGACCCCCCCCCCCCAGATGCGCCTAAGCGCCCTTCAGGAATCGCATGCCCCGCAAAACTGCCCCCCCTGGAAGCCCCCGAGAGGTCTCGAAAGATCACATGAAGCACCCCTGAAGACTTGGACCCGCTCCCCAGGCACGGTGGCGGGATGAGCCGAAGGCCATTGGATGGGAGACGTTCGAGGATGGGATAAGGCGGGATAAGGAGAGGAAGGCTATATACGTCAGCATTGGGGCGTCGCGCTTGGCACGAACGAGTGGTCCGACTATCGCTCGGGCGCAGGTGATATAATTACAATCGCAAGCGAGCCATGTCTGCGGCGGGCGCGGCGGGCCGCAACTTCAGAAGCTCTCGTCCGAGCTCTCGTCGCTCCCGAGCGGCGACGGCGGCGGGCCCCGGCTCCCCCGCGCGCGCGAAGCGCGCGCCCTCCGCGGGGGCTGCGGCGGCGGCCACGCCAGCGGCGGCGCCTGCGGGATCCCACTCGCCCAGGCTCACCACCCCGCCCGTTGCCCCCGTTGGGATCGCGAGCCTGAGGGAGCGGAATCCCCGAGATGCTGCTCATCGCCGCCGCCAGCTCGCCAGCCGCCTTTGCCTTCGCCTCAGCTGCGGCGAACAGCCCGCGCAGGCGCTCGCACGCCGCCCGCGCCGCGCTGAGGTGCTCGATCGCCCGCCTGTGCGCGTCCTCCTCGAACTCGAGGAGGTCCGCGTGCACGTCGCGGTCGCTGAGGGCCTCGTCGGGGGAAAAGAATACCCTCGCGCTCCACGCCACCCCACCTAATCCTGCCCCACCCCGATACCCCGACCGACTAACAACATACCACATTGCGCGGCCCGCCAGCCTCGGCAAGCTCGGCACGGAGGCGGTCGCAGCAGCAGCACTCCTTCGGCGGCGCCTTCCAAGGGGGCGCCGCGGCGGCTGTGGCGGCGGTGCTTTGCTGCCCGCTGGCCACGATCAAAGCCTTGGGCGGCGGCTTCGGCGGCGGCGCCGCGTTCTCCGGGGCGCGAGCCGCCCCCGAGCCGTGAGGGGGTGCTGCGCCTTCGGGAGACAAAATAAATCAAACGATTAGCACAAACTCAAGCGGGCAGGCAGGAGCAAAAGACGCAGAGGGCAGCAAAAAAGTCAAACACATCCACGACAGAAAAAACCCAATACTAATGCTAAAAAAAACCAAAAAGTATCCAGTAAATGTAGGACGAAGGCAAAAGACGTCAGTAAACACACCCAGACGAGGGACAGAGAAACCAAGGGAATTCCCCGAAACATCCAACGGAGATAGAAGCACGGGAGATGAGGACACGGGAAAGCATGGCCAGAGGGGGGCCATGGGTCCTCGCACCAGGAAAGGGGCGTGCGCGGCGCTCTTGCGGGCGGCGGTGCTCTGCTGCCCGCTGGCCTCAACCAATGCCCTGGGTGGCGGCTTCGACGGCGGCGCCGTGCTCTCCGGGGCGCGAGCCGCCACAGCCTTGGGAGGCGGCTTTGGCGGCGGCACCTTGCCGTTGCCCTTGGCGGGCGGCGGAAGAGCGAGCGCGCCCGACATCGCGCGCCAGCGCGCGGCGTGAAGGAGGCGTCGGGATCCGCGCGGCAGGCCGCGCGCGAGTCTTGAGCCAATCCTGTTCTGTCGTTGTTGCTCTGGGACCCGGAGGGGCCAGGAAGCCCCCGCATGCCATCGCGGCTCGGAAGCTCCGAGAGAGCACTGGAAATATCAAGGGGGAACCTGGAGGCCCCAAAAGGAACCACGTGGTGTCAGGATACCCCGAAAAGCACAGAAGTCGATTCATGCCACCGCCGTCGTGAGTCGCCCCCCATCGCGTTCTCGGGGGCAGCGGGATGGCGAAATCTGCTGAATAAGTGAACCAAGTCCTGCGCGTTCAGAGAGCCGTCGGTTCACTTATTTCTGGCGCTCGGAAGCGCCCGGAATACGCCCAGGGCGGCCCAGGTCAGCTGCGGGGAAACCCCGAGAACGGGCCTCAGGGCGCCCCGAGACGGCCCTGGGGGGGGGCGGACGCGCAAGGGCACACTTTTTTATAAAAAGTGGTTCGGTGCGCGGTTCTCGGGCCCCAGGGCCCCTGGCGCCGCTGGGGGGCGAGCGCCGGAGGGGTCCTCGGGCTGCCAAAATCTATAAAGCGACCTCAAATTTTCGGGGCGAATTCTCAACGTCCTCCCAGAACCCTCCAGGAGCCCCTGCCAGACAACCCGAAGAAAAATGAAAACGCATTGCGAGATTTCCTGAGCGCTCCCCAGAGGGGCGAGCGGGCCCTGGCGGGCCCCGCATGCGCGGCGGCGGGCGGGAGCCTTAGTTCGGACAACGAAGCGGGGTCCTCGGGCGGTCAAAATCCATAAGGCGATCCCAAATATTCAAGGCTGGCCCTAGCGGGCCCAGCAGGCGCGGCGGCGGGCGGGAGCCTTGGTTCGGACGACGAACACACCGAGAAGTCTCCAGCGGTTTCCAGAGGAGGCCACCAGGCGCGAAGGTCCCCTAGAGGCTCCTGCAGGTGACACAGACGATGATGATATTTTCAGTCGTCGCCCTCTGAGAGCTCGCTGGCTTGGCCCGGGGCGGCGAGGTCGGGGGCGCTAGCGCAGCTCGCCTGCGAGGCTACCTCGTCCTCCCACTCCTCGTCGGAGCAGGCCTGGTCCTTGGGGGGCGCCGCGCGCTTGGGAGCCGCCTTGCGCTTGGGGGTCGGGACCCAGCGGAAGGCCTCCAGCGCTCTGCGCCAGTAGTTCTTGCCCTTCCCGCGCGTCGCCGAGAAGTGCACCAGCTTCGAGAGCTCGCAGGCGAGGCGTTGCACCACCACAGCGGACGACCCCGCGAGTCGCTCCGCAGCCCTCGCCACCGCCTCCTTGGCCGCCCCCCAGCCCTTGCCGTTGACCCTCCCGAGCAGCCGGCGCAGGCGGTTGAGCTGCGCCGCGGAGAAGTCCCAGTCGTCCGACAGCGTCGCCTGCTTGACGGCGGCTGCACCGGTGCTGGTCGAGGCGCGGCCGCCCACGGCGGCGAAGAAGGCCAGCGCCCCGGGGCCCATCACGGAGCGGGCGGTTGTGAGCACACCAGGCACAGTGCCGTCCGCGAACGCCTGCTCCAAGTAGAGGAGGGCGTTCTTGCCGGTCAGCGCCCCCACGGCGCCGGCGAGCGAGAGCTGGAACCGCTTCGCGGCCAGTCTGTTCGCCGCCCTGGCCGTCACAGCGCCGAGCTTGACCTTGTCGGTCTTCTTCGCCTCGACGGCGTACTTCCCTACGCCGCTCGTGGCCACCTTCGCTCGCAGGCCCTTGAGCTTGAGGTTGTGCTTGCGCGCCTTGACGACCCGCTTGGCCTTCGTCAGTTTCTTGTCGGCGAGGTCCTTGCGGTTGGCCGCCCGCAGCAGCCGCTTGTTGAAGCGGTCAGAGAAGAGGCCGTCCTCCGGGCTGGCGGCCGCGGCGGTCTTCAGAGCCTCGAAGACATCCCCGGCACCCGCTGCGTGGTCGTCGTAGTCCGCCAGGCACTTCTCGAACTCATCGTGGAAGCGCCTCCCATTCACCATCGCACAAGCAGTGGCCGCGAGCACCAACGGCCGCGACCTGCGCTGAACCTGACAATGGGGGCCACGGGCCGAGCGCACTCACCTTCAACGATACCCCCTTCACTCCGGGGAGGAGAGTGACGAACACGCGCAACGGAACACGTTGTTTAACACGTGTTTCATTGCCAGTTTTCGACACAAGGAAAGTGCGCGACTGGTGGCCCCCAGCCTTCTGCAGGGCGCGGCGCACGGTCTGCGTGCTCGCGTAAGGCGGTCCTATGCGCAATCACTGGAAAAAATATCGCGACCGCTACGAGACCGCACCCGGTGTCGGGGGAAATGCCCAGGGACGATACCAACCCTCTCTAAACATGCGGCGGTTATAATCAGGACTGCCCAGGAACCCACGAAAGTGGCGACGCGCAGGGAGACGCGAGGTCTCGGCGGGGTCTGCGTGGCCCGCAATTCGCAGCCCCCCGGGGAGCCGCGAGGTCTCGACGGAGTCCGCGTGCTCACCGACTCCGCTGGGCCTCCCAGGAACCCGCGAAACTGGCGACAGTGGCACAGTTCGCAACCCCCACAGGGAGCCGAGCAGGAGGAACGAGAGAAGGGATGAGGAAGAGGAGGAAGAGAAGAGAGGGAGGAGAGGGGAGGAGGAGGAGGAGGAGGAGGGGGAGGAGGAGGAGGAGGAGTGGAAACCACAATGCTCTATTCAAATCAAGAACCCAAGCAAAGAAGGGTTGAGAAAAAACGTGATTAGAAAGGTACGGGGCCATTGGCGCGGGGCCCCATGCCCATCAAACCAAACAATATTGAACACCGAGTGCTGTAATGTAGCGGTTGGAATATTCGGATTGCGTCCTAAGGAGAAGTGGAAGTTAGTCAGCGTCTCCCAGGCGTTGACGCGCGCTGGCTTCGCGACCCAGACGAAGTCGCGTGGCTTATAGACCTGCAACGCAGGCACGTCGATCCAGACCTTCTCGGCACACTTCAGGATCGTCCCTGCCATGTCTGGTTCGTCAATCATGGCCTGGCGTGCCGCCAGCAGCTGGCACAGCGGGAAGGGCCCATCGGGCCCCTCGAAGCGAAAAGCCATGCACGGCTTGGCCGCGCTGGCGGGGCGGTGCTGGCTGTGGCCAGGCCAGCGAGGCTGGGTCCGAGCCACGACTGAATACAAGTTCAAGTCAACACAAAGACAATGCAGAATCAATGCTATGTCAATATTGTGTTATGTCATGACATAATATCGCATGTGACGATGTCTGCTCGGCGATGCAGTACGCTATGATATGCACTGCCGTGCCATGAGACATACGATGTGCCGCGATGTGATCTGCTATACTGAAAAGTACAAGTGAACCCCACCAGCCCTTTAGGGCGTGAGTGGTCTAAAGAGCCTGTTCTGCTAAACCCCCTTCTTCCCCTTCGGGGAGGGGGTTCCCCCGCCTACCCCCCCCCCCCCCCTCTGGGCCTGGAGGGAGGGTGCCGCGAGGGGTCAGGGCGCCCAAGATGGCCCAAGATGGCTCCCAGAGGGCCTCAGAGAGTCCAAGATGACCTCCAAGATCGTGCAAGATAGCCCAATATGGTTCAAGATGGCTACCAATATGCACCCAAGAGCTCTCAATACCGCCCCAGGACGGCCCCAAGTGCCCTCGGAGCTCCCCAAGGAAGCCCTCAAGAGACCTCCAGAACCATCAAAAACTTCGGCCACGCACCGAAACACTTTTTACCGACAAGTGCGCGCTTGCGCGTTTTAGCCGCCGCGGGGGGGTGAAAAACCCTGGGCCATAGGAGCCTCGGCCGAAAACTCCACACTCTACACCAATGGCCCAAAGATGCAAAATCGGGTCCTGCAGCTCGGGCGAGAGAGGTGAGTTATGTTTCTATGGTTTTGGAAGGGCTTTCGGGTTCTCACCTTTTGAAGCCAAGAACTGCCCAAAACAGCCCAAGAGACTCCAAAAATCATCCCAAGACGGCCCGCTGCGAGAGCGTCCTCCTCCTCCTCCTCCTCCTCCTCCCCCTCCTCCCCCTCTCCTCCGAGAAGCCACGCGACCAGGATCCCCGAAAACCAGAACCCCCTGGAACTTTGAAAATTTTGATTTTTTTCGAAAATTTCGAAAATTCCAAACACATTGAAAATTTCGAAAATTTCAAAAATTTTGTAATTTTCAAAATTCCAATTGGTCGGGGGAATCCGAGAAGCCACGCGACCAGGATCCCAGAAAACCCGAACCCCTGGAAGTTTGAAAATTTCGTTTTTTCGAAAATTTCGAAAATTCCAAACACTTTGAAAATTTCGAAAATTTCGAAAATTTCGAAATTTTCAAAATTCCCAGGGGCCGGGGAATCCGAAACCAAGGCAACCAGGAATTCGAAAACCGCGCAAGGAATCCCGACATCCCTGAGATCTCCTCGAGAGGCGTCCGCGATTCCACTGCCCGAAAACTCCACACTCTACGCCAAGTCCAAAAATCATCCCAAGACGGCCCGCTGCGAGGGCGTCCTCCTCCTCCTCCTCCTCCTCCTCCTCCTCCTACCCCTGCTCCTCCTCCTCCTCCCCCCCTTCAGATCGCGAGCCACGCGACAGGATCCCGAAACAACCCGAACCCCTGGAAGTTTGAAAATTTCGTTTTTTCGAAAATTTCGAAAATTCCAAACACTTTGAAAATTTCGAAAATTTCGAAAATTTCGAAATTTTCAAAATTCCCAGGTGCCGGGGAATCCGAAACCCAGGCAACCAGGAATTCGAAAACCGCGCAATCCAGGCAACCAGGAATTCGAAAACCGCGCAATCCAGGCAACCAGGAATCCAAAACCCAGGCAACCAGGAGGAGGAGGAGGAAGAGAAGGAGAGAGGATGGATATGAAGTTGGATACCGGTATCCCCTCCTCGTCGCCCATACCCCTCCCTCCCTCCCTCCCTCCCTCCTCCCTCCCTCGCCTTCTCCTCATCCTCCTCCTCCTCCTCCTCCTCTCCTCCTCCTCCTCCTCCTCCTCCTCCTCCTCCTCCTCCTCCTCCTCCTCCTCCTCCTACTCCTACTCCTACTCCTACTCCTACTCCTACTCCTCCCCTGCTCCTCGACTATACACATGCGACTCGTCCTCGTCATCATGATCGCCGTCATGATCGGCATCAACATCGTCATCATCATCCTCCTCTTCCTCCTACTCCTCATCATCACAATCATCATCATCATCATCATCATCATCATCATCATCATCATCATCATCATCACCATCACCATCATCATCGGCATCATCATCATCATCATCATCATCATCATCATCATCATCATCATCATCATCATCATCATCATCATCATCATCATCATCATCATTATCATCACCATCATCATCATCATCATCATCATCATCATCATCATCATCATCATCATCATCATCATCATCATCGTCGTCGTCATCATCATCATCATCATCATCATCAGAATCATCATGATCATCATCATCATCATCATAAGCAGCAACAGCAGCATCACCATCACCATCACCATCACCATCACCCCATCACCATCACCATCATCATCATCATCATCATCATCATCAGCAGCAGCAGCAGCAGCAGCATCAGAATCAGCATCAGCATCATCATCATCATCATCGTCATCATCATCAGTAACATCATCATCATCCTCCTCATCATCATCCTCATCATCATCATCGTCATCGTCAGCAGCATCATCCTACTCATCATCAGCATCAGCATCATCATCATCATCATCATCATCAGCATCAGCATCAGCATCATCATCAGCAGCAGCATCATCTGAATCATCACAATCATCATCAAAGTCGTCATCCTCATGACCATCACCATCATCATTACAAGCATCATCATCATCAGCAGTAGCAGCAACAGAAGCATCATCATCATCATAATAATCATCATCATCATCATGTTCATCATCATCACCATCATCAGCAGCAGCATCATCACCGTCATCATGATCATCACGATCATCCTCATCCTCGTACGCATCCTCATCACCATTATCAGCATCATCATCATCGTCATCATGATCATCATCATCATCATCATCATCATCATCATCATCATCATCATCATCATCATCATCATCATCATCATTATCAGTATCATCATCATCATAATCAGCATCATAATCAGTATCATCAGCAGCATCATCATGTTCATGTTCACCTTCATTATCCTCATCACCATCATCGTCGTCACCATCAGCAGCAACAGCATCATCATCACCATCACGATCATCGTCACCAGCAGCATCGCCATGCCATGACCATCATCATCCGCATCATCAACATCATCACCATCAGCATCATACCTTCATTATCGTCATCATCCGCACCCTCCTCATCATCGTCGTCGCCATCACCATCACCATCATAACCACTATCACCATCACCACCATCATCATCAGCAGCATCAGCATCAACCTCATCATTGTCATCGTCATCGCCATCACCATCACCATGACAATCACCATCATTGTGATCAGTAGCACTATCATCGTCATCATCATCATCATCATCATCATCATCATCACCATCTTCCTAATCCTTACTCTAATCCTTATCCTTACCCGAATCATCACCTTCATCGTCTCCATCCTCGGTCCTCGACGCTCAATCCTCAATCCCCGATCCTCGATCCTGGATCCTGGATCTTCGATGTTCGATCATCGACCCTCAATCCTCAACCCTCGATCCTCCTTCTCCTCATCCTCCTCATCATCCTCGATTATCGTCATCCTCCTTCTCCTCCCCATCCTCATCGTCAATCATCGATCCTCGATCCTCGGCCCGCGAACCTCGATCCTCGAACCTCATGCATCCTCCTCCTCGATCATCATCGTCCTCGATCCACGATCATGGATCGTCGATCCTCGATATTCCGCCTCCGCCTCCTCCTGACGGATCCTTCTCCTCCTCCTCCTCCTCCTCTTCAACCGTCTCTCCCTCCTCCTCCTCGTCCTCGTCGTCGTCACCATCATCCTCATCATCATCAACATCATCAGCATCATAATGATCAGCAGAATCATCATCATCATCATCATCATCATCATCAGCAT